TGAACTTTCGCCCACCTTTTTGTAAAGACAGCATTTGTATGAGGCATCATCATAACTCCCGAAGCTACATTTTACTTGAATTATTGTTCCAAATGGAGATGGTGAAAAACCACAAATATCAGGAAATTTTCTTTCTTGTTAAGAAAGTCATGGGTAGTCATTTTGCAGTAACTTTAATAAAACAGTAACAGATTGATAAAGTATGTTGTGCATTCTATGGCAAGTGGAAGAAAATACAATTTCAGAGAATGCCAATGCACAAGGGCACAAGGCCCTCCAGAGCAGGGCTTCTGCTTCATTAATCTTTCCAGATTTTGAGCTGACCTTTTCAGCCACTCCTCCTCAGTCGCCTTGGGTTCTTCCACCACACCCACCTCCTCATGTCAAATAGCTGTGCACCCCATGGTCCTAGCCTTGACTCTCTTCTCATTCCACATAATCTCCCTGGAGAAAACTATTCATATTTTAACTTCAATTTCTGAAAGACTCAGGCTTCTTTCTTTAGTTCCTGACCCACATGTCTGACTCCTACTTAAGGGAAATCTCAATTTAGACAACAGGCATTTCAAATGAACTGAACTCATCATGGATGCATTTCTCACACTCCCTAAAAAGAAAAAGACTTCTTTCCTTCTCTTGTGTTCTGGATTTCGATAACTAACAGAACAATTCCCCCATCACCTGGGTGGTCATCCTTGGCTTTTCCCTCTTCTTCACCCCCTACAACACCAAGACCTGCCACTTGGACCCTCTCAGAGGCCCCTCCTCCCTGTTCCCCACCCTCCCAACCACCACACTTATTTTATCATTTCTTCATGGAATTACTACAAAATCTCCAGCTTGGTTTTTCTGCCTCAAGTTTTGGCTCTCCACCAATCCGTCATTCACACGCTGCCAGCGACCCCTTTCAAATGGAGAACCGATCACGTCACTGACCCAAATCCTTCTCATTACCTTCAAGATACAAATCTCACTCCTTTGGTTCTTTCTGATTTAATGCATATCTGCCTCCCAGCTTCACTTCCTTCTATGCTCTTCTATTAAGTTCCCTCTGCTCCAGCCACAATGGACTCCTTCTTAAGAGCTGTTCTCTCGTGCCTCTGTGCCTTTGCCCAGGAAGCCCTCACACACAATCCATCTGGTCATTTCCTATTCCCTTATGAAGACCAACCTCCAAGAAGTACCTGACACATTATGGATGCTCAATATGTGTTTGCTGTATGCCTGCAATAACAACCACCTACATTTACTTTACAATATACAAGATATTTTCACTCCTATCTATAATCACATTTCATTGATTTTGATTTTCACAACTCGACTGTTAGACAATCATTGCAGATCTTGTCATTCCCAGTTACCAATAAGGAATAGCTCCTGGCTTTCCAAAGTGGCATAGCTAGAAATTAATGCAATCATCCTTGACTAAAAGCCTGTCCTCTATTATTATCCTATTTAAATTATCAGGTATACACTGAAAACCCACTAAGAGCTAAAAGGAGTACTGGACTTAGTTCCTAAAATATTTAATCTAATCAGAGGCACAGACCCATGCACATAAAGTGGGAGAAAACTCTACAAGAAAGTAGAGTACAGGGCTAGGTGCCAAACTGGGTAGTGTCCCCAGTAGGAGAGAGAGGCGCATTTATTTTGTGGGCATTAACCTAATCCTGGAAGACTTTCCAGATGCGGGGGCAGCAGCACGGTCCTGCAGCCCAATTATACTAAGAATGAGTAAAACGCTGAAAGAACATTCCTGGAGTCCAACAATTTCGAGCGCAGACCATTACAGATCTGGAGGACAAAGAGGAAACGAGGCAAAAATGGAAATTCGTTTTCTACCTTGACTCAACTCCTTATAAGTTTCAGAAAGTAGTGGAGAAAAAGAGAAAAAAGTACCCTCACTCTGGCAAAACAAAAAGTAAACAAAAATCCAGGAAACAAAAACAAAAACTTCCCCTGACTTCCATAAACACCCTATCAGTAGGATAGTAAGGCTAGGAAACAACACAGTCATTTGCTTTTCTTTCTTTTTCTTTTTTTTTTTAAATCATCCTACTTACATTAAATAACGTTAACTTTCTACCACAATTATTTTTACTTTGAATTCTGATGTGGCTAAGAGATTTAAGTAAGAAAAAGAAAGGCTATGTCGGTCCCTCCATTGCTACCTTATTCCCCGGTGATAGTGCTTTGGTTTGCTACTTTCATTAAGCACCAGCAAAGTAAATAATGTAATTATTCTATCTAATTTGATGAGCTTGGAGATTTTTTAAAAAATCATCAGGACTTTGTTTTTTACCTGACCATCAGTGACATCCTGAACATGCCAATGAAAAGAAAAAAAACACACACATGGTAGGAAATCCCCCAAAGGAGCAACCAATACGTTTGCCATTCATCTCAACCCCTATGCCATTAGCAACTTTCTGACCTCAGGATAGCTCCTCCAATAAGAAAGCTTATCCCTCTGGGGGGCCTGGGTGGCTCAGCTGGTTAAGCGACTGCCTTCATTCAGCTCAGGTCATGATCCCAGAGTCCTGGGATCAAGTCCCACATCGGGCTCCCAGCTCAGGGGGGAGCCTGCTTCTCCCTCTGACCCTCTCCGCTCTCATGCTGTTTCTCACTCTCTCTCAAAAATAAACAAAATCTTTAAAAAAAAAAAAAAAGAAAGCATATCCCTTTATCTAAAGCACTTTCTCTAACGCTCTTCTCACTCAACAGACAAGTGCAAGTACACTGTACCAGCTGCTGGAGGGAGAAAGAGAAACTGAATGTTGTCCTTAAACATTTTAGTACCTTTCCCTTCCCCACTTCCACCCCTCAGTCATTTCTTCCATAAACTCGCTATCCCCGAAAATCAAATGTTGCTTTTCACAGTCCCCAGTTACCTATTACCTGAAATATTTCAATGCAAGACTTCCTCAATGTCAAGTTCATGGCTACTGATAAAATCATTCTTCTACACTGCTAAGTTTAAAGTACCAACATCTACCTCCACTTTTCCAACTTTCAAATATGCATGCAACAACCAAATTCTCGAGTCCTTGTTATTTCAGTGTGGAGATCGACAATGTTTTGTTGTTCTTTTTAAATACAAATACTGAATCCTTTACTGTTTGAGAAAATAAAACCCTACCTCTTTTATGTGTTAATAAAGACCAGGTTTTTATCACTAACTTGTCACTTTATGGTATTACTAATGAGCACCACTACGTTTCTTGGATGAAAAGACCAATTCACGATCTTGCTAATGATACGAAAACTCGAGTTGGAAAACACTGTTCTATAGAAGTGCTGTTGATCTTAGATGCTGTTTGTCTAAAAATGCATCCCCCGTCTCTAAGTTTCAGGAACAGGTAATTAAGGTGCCACGAAGTGTTTAGTCCCCAACCTGAATTTATTACTTCAACATTTTAGCTTATGAATTACGGGTTCAGGATATATCACAGTGCCTGTCAATAGCCACACATAAACCTTCTTGCTTTGACAATTAATCTGAAATTCGGCTCTAGACAGTCTGAGAGGGGAAGCCCAGTTTGCTGGAACATAATAAATGTCCGTTTCCATCACAGAATGTATGCTTCTCGAGTTCAATTAACCTCTGAACGATTCTCTAAGAGGAAAGTAATTTTCCTCAGTGTCCTTGTCATCTATGGAGTGGAAATCTCTCTAGTGGCAACGTAGGAGTAATCGCTTACGTGACCCAAAAAGGGCTCTTCTCTTCATTTCCCCCAAGTGCTGTCTAGAGCAGCGGGAGGAACAGATAGAGGGGCCACAATCTGCAGACACGAGTGCTCAATCAATCATGCAGTTTCCACCCGCCTGCTCTTTCCTTCTCGCTCCTCCATTTTTCTTTCCTCCTTAAGGCTCGTTTTTGTTCATCTAGGACTCTCTCCCGGCGGTCTGCCTTTTTACAACCTACCAGGCACAACCTCTTGTGATCCTCAAAGCTTCCTTAAAGCACAACCCGCACCTGTATTTCAAAAGCCAGTTATGATGATACTGTCGTGTGGGATAATGTTACATTCGTTTAAAAGCCCCACAAAGTTTTGCTACAAAATATGTGGGCTGACTCCACAGCTCCACCGAAAACGCGGAGGATGGAAATAAACAAAACAAACACACAAAACAACCCCCAATCCAACCGGAAAGATCCAACCCAGGCCCTGTGCCTGAAATGTGATACTCGGGATGACAGTGCAATGTGGGGCAACGGAATTCTCCCGGCTTCCAGGATTCAGCAGGCACATTTGGCCCCCTGCCGCCGGCGACAGAAGAGGCTCCTATTTGTTTTATGCTTCCCATAAATGCGGCAGGAGCGACCACCCTCCCCGGGCCCGGCCGACGCCCCGGCTGCCGAGGGATCGTCCTGCTGGGAGGGCTGGGGCGCAAAGGGTCGCTCCTGCCGCTGACACGCGGGCTCCGGGAGGTAGTGGCGGGCAGGCGGCCTCCGCCCCGGCCGTTTCGGGAGTCGGGGCGGGGTGGTTCGGGGCGAACCCGCGGACAGCGGGGGGCCCCCCCGAGGCGGCGGGGGCGCGCCGAGCCCGGGCGGCCGCAACAGGTGCGCCGCGGCGGCCCACCCGCCCCTCCCGCCGCCCGGCCGGCCTTTACCTGCAGTGGCGGCTCCCGAGCCCGCGGAGGGCGGCCCGGCCCCGGTCGCCCTTCCCCGCCGGACGCACGGACTGACGGACCGACGGACGCCTCGGGATGGCGACGGCGGGGGGGGGGTGGCCACAGTCCCCCGCCCCGAAGGCCCGGGCACAGGCCCCGCCCGGGGGCTCGAAGGCTGCCGGGGAGGGCGCGACCGCCCAACCGGGCCTCAGGGGCAGAGTCTTCAGCGGACCACCGGGCCGCCACCCTCGCTCGGCGTCCCCGGCGACGCGCGGGCCCTCACGCTGGCCCGCGTTTCTTCGCGGCTTTTGGACCCTCCCTCTCGCCGTCCCTCTGGCCCCTCCTCCCCGCCCGCCGGGTTGTCAAGGCAACCCGAGCGACGCCTGCCGCGGACGAGAGGCGTTAGGCGGGGCGGCGGCGGCGCCGCGGGCTCGGCCCTTGGGGGCCCGGGAGCAGCTGACCATGGAGCCCCAGAGTAAGGGGGCCGGGGCGGGCCGGGCCGGGGCCTCCGGGGAACGAGGGCGGGCGCCCCGCGCGCGGTCGCAGGCTTTAAACGCTTACGACACGGAAACACGGTACTCCCCCTCGCTCTTTTCTCTCCTGGAGGGAGGAGAGGGGCCTAAACCTGCTGTGTGTCCGGTTGGGTCACGAGCACCAAGGGAGTCCGCTGGGAGCCGGAGGGACGCGAGAGCGCGGGAGCGTGGACAGGAGGAGGCAGCGCCCCCGCTGTGTTCTTTCCTGAAATTACCCCAAGCAAATCCGTGTATTATTACTATCACTCTCACTGTTGTCATTTTAGCTTGGTTCATTCATTGTAAAGCGCCGTCCTGCTTCTAAAACGTCCGCAATTGAACAAGCTACGAGGCTGGGTCTTGCTTTCGGTTGAGCTGCATTTATGAGAGCGAACCCGTCCACCCCGCACTCCATAGTCTGTGATTTAAAAGAGAGAAAAAAAATTGAGCTTTGTTCAAGCGTATTTGATTGATTGCTAAAGGCTGTACGAGCTAGGACTCTCCAAAAAAAAAAAAAAATCATTTTCCTGTTTCCCACATTGTTTGGCAAAACGTGGGCAGTCTGGAGTTAAGAGATCAAATACGAGCTCTAACTTCACTGGGTTCCCTGGCTCCCAAACCTCTCTAGGGCTGTATTACCCTGTCCTTTTCCATGCTAAGGTCTTATTGCTCCTTTTTTCTTAAAGTGAGAACAGTGTTTTCTATGGAGATTTGGAAGACCTTAAGCTTTTATAGAAGTATGCAGTTTGATTCTCAAAACCAAGTCGCCTTTTCTTGGACAATCTGAGAAATGGAAGTACTCAGATCAAATCCATTCTCTGGGGAAAATGCTGGCATTTTAAAAGGTCGTTAGTTTGGGGCAAGAAGGCTTTAAAGGTTTTTTTTTACTTTCTTTTAACTCATTTGCTGATGAAAAACTTAAGTTGAGAGTTACAGTTTCTTGAATTGAATTTATACACTATCCTGCCATTTGCATGTATAACTCTCCGGATTTTACGTCTTATCTAACTTGTTGAAAGAAACTGAACATACGACAATACTAAAAACTTTTGTGTCAAACTGATGCCGGGCTGTGCATGTTCTCTGTTAATGGAGGAATGAAGTGACATGTACCTTTTAGAAACAGCAACTTTATTCCTTCAGATTTGTTATTGTTTAAATGTGTTAAGTATAAATTTCAACGAATTCAGTGCTCACTGTCTTTATCCACTCACTCATTCATAGTATATATTGTGTTCCAGACACTGCTGTAGAGATGGGGGTGGCACAATGAATAGGATAGTGTTAGTTTGGGCCATCCCAGGAAAACCCTGCAGGGACTTGCCCAAGTACAACCTGCACCTCCCTCAGGTCTGAGATTGAGAGAGAGGAGATGGACAGAAGGCTTCCGGGAGGAAGTAATGGGAGGCCTGCAGAATGACCCAGCAAAGATAAGGGAAAGGGGCTCCAGGCAGAGGAAACCCCTGGCACATAGGCCCTGAGACCTGAAGAGCAGTGGGTTTGAGACCCAGAGTAGGAAGATTAGTAAAGTTGGAGCTAAGAAGACTTGGGGGTAGAGAGGGATAGAAAAAAGATAAGTCTGGAAAAGTCAACAACAGGCAGATCGTGAAGGCTTTATAAAACTACGTAGGAAATGTATTATGGGGCATCAGCGTGGCTCAGTCAGTTAAGCATCCAACTCGATTTTTGGCTCAGTTCATCATCTCAGGGTTGTGAGATTGAGCCCCACAGGGGGCTCCACACTGGGCATGGAGTCTGCTTAAGATTCTCTCTCCCTCTGCTCCTCCCCTCCCCGCTCCCTCTCTTAAAAAAAAAAAAAAAGTATTATGTGTATGAATTATTTGTTTATATCCCATCACATTGGGTTTTGAGGTGGAAAATTTTTGTTAATCCATGCCTAGGGGACAACTGTACATTTATTCCTCTCCACATATTCTTAAATGCTTTTATCAATATAATTTCAGGTAATCCAAACAATCACCAGTTATCTTAGGAAATTCCTTTTTTTTTAAGATTTTATTTTTAAGTAATCTCTACATCCAATGTGGGGCTCAAACTCACAACCCCAAGATCAAGAGTCTCATGGTCTACTGACTAAGCCAGCCAGGTGCCCCAGGAAATTCTTTCACAGTCTAATAAGCACCATTTTTGGTAAATATTTACTAAATCATTCACTGTGATTTTTAAGGTCCCTTTTAACTTCAAAATTCATATCCAACCTTCAAAATTCAGATTTTACCTGAAACTCACGTTATTTCATTCTGTCAAAAATATTGGAGAGCACTATAGATATGGTATGAAAAAGTATTATAATTACCTATATAACTACTGTTATCATTATTATATTAATGATATATTGTGATGCCAATATTATCTAACACATTTTAAGCCTGGTGTTTACACGGTACCTTTTGTTAGTGACGGGTTTCAAAGAACATTTTACAACTGTAGCTGCACATAGCATCAGTGAATTGATTGAAAGGAAGGATCCTTCTTAATTGCTTTAAGGATTAGACATATACCCAAGGAAAACACCAAAGAACCGCTAGAATCAGTGTTATCCATTCTGTTTCCACACACTTAGGTTTCTATTACTTTTAGGAATGACCTTTATTAATGGAGTCATTAAAATCCAATAAACATAAACTCCTCAGACCTCACAGTGGGATCATACTCTGGCTATAGGCAGAGGACAGGGGCTACCACTATCTTACAGAATAATAATAAATCAATGAGCCAAGAAATGACTCCTCAGGGAAAGGGCAAATTAAGTAAGTTCGCAACCTTGGGCTGTTCAGAGTGGTTTTGGCTCTCGGCTTACACATGTACAGCTTTAATTATTTTCTTCATAAACCAACTAGACTATTGGAAAGCTAACCCATGTATGAAATAACATGGAAAATATACATCAAATTCTTTTTTGTTTGTTTTGGTTTTGTTTTTAGAAAATATTTAAGTTCAACAGTACTGTCTCTTCCCTAATTTCTTAGTGAATGACAATGCCAAGGGGTAGCTTTGGGGGTCTTTACCCTCTCTCTCTCATGATCTTTCCTAGCCCACCAAATCACCCTAAGCAAACACACAATCTGGGTATAAAAACTGTATGTTTATCAAATGCAACATCAAGATAAACCTCCACCTCCCACTTAGAACCCTATTGCTGCCTACCCTCTCTATAAAAAAATCTAGGTCTAGGTTAGGCCAGGCCGCAGTTGACTGCTACACACCTGCCCCTAGAAAGAAATGCCAAGGGGCGCCTGGGTGGCTCAGATGGTTAAGCGTCTGCCTTCAGCTTAGGTTATGATCCCAGGGTCCTGGGCTCGAGCCCCGCATCAGGCTCTCTGCTTGGCGGGGAGCCTGCTTCTCCCTCTCCCACTACTGTTCCCCCAGCTTGTGCTCTCTTGCTCTGTCAAATAAATAAATTAAAAAAAAAAAAAAAGAAAGAAATGCCAAATGGGGATCTAAGTTATTCCAATGACTAAGAGAATGAGGCATTCACTTAAAGGGCTGAAGCCTTTCTCCAAACCTGTTTTTCTACTAGTTTTCCCATCTTTGATAGGATTACATCATCTCCCCAGTTATTCCAGCTGGAAATCGAAGAGTCCTCCTTCCCTCCTCTCCTCCACTCCCCCTCCCTTGCACCACCCCACCCACCAGCATGCCTGTTTACTCCACCTTCAAAAGACACCCTGAATGTGCACCTTCCTCTTCCTACTGTCATCACTGGGACTCCAAGCCACCCTCTTGCTTAAGCCCTGATTGGAGGCTCTACCGACTTCTGCAGTTCCTCTCCCCTGCCTCGTCTGTGCTCCACCTGGAAGCCAGAGTGACCTCTTCAAAATAACTTATTACATCATGTTACTCCTCTGCCAAAAGCCCTCCAGAGTTCTTATAATGATCTAGTTGCCTCTTCAAATTTATCAGTTGTGTGATCTTGGATAATTATGCTTCAAGTGTATGGGTCTTTTTTTTTTTTGAAAGTTTTTTTTTTATTTATTTGAGAGAGCGAGAGCACAAGTGGGGAGGAGGAGCAGAGGCAGAGGGAGAGGCAGGCTCCCCGCTGAGCACAGAGCCCAACATGGGGCTCCATCCCAGGACCCCGAGATCATGAGCTGAGCTGAAGGCAGACGCCTAACCAACTTAGCCGCCCAGGCACCCCAAGTGTATGGGTCTTTTAGTCCCTTAAACATATCAGGCTCCTTTACGGACGGTGAATCTTTGCACCAGCTTTTTCCCTCCTGTTCTGACAGATGTGACTCAATATCCTCTGGTCTTAGCTTAAACGTCCCCTGCTCATTGACTCCTTCCCTTAGGCCCTAAAGTAGGTGGTGCCCCCCTTCAGACCTTTGCATTTTTCTCTTTCTAGCAATGATCACAATTTGAACTTCTTTTGTTGACTAAAAAAATCTGTTTTCGCCACCAGATTGTAGCGTTGTGGAAAAGGGCCTGAATGCCCTTCTGGCCCTAGTGCCTGATGCGGAGTAAGCCCTGTGCCCTGAACAAGCATTTACTGATGGATGGCACCACTGTTAACGGCTGAATGCCTCATCTAATGTTATTTCCTTAAGAATGGGGTGTCATTAAAACCGAAAGCCATTTTACTCTATAACGGGAAGGGCTGTGCACGGGTGAAATCTCAAGTGCCTCTTCTGGAGGGTGCTTCAGGTTAAGTTCATTTAACTCAGGTGCTTCCACCTGTTAGCTGGATTACAAACATGGCATTGCTTTTTACTAGCCTAAATGAGATGTTTTAAGAATCTCGTTTTATCAAAAAAAAATTAAGGAGCAGCGCCTGGGTGGCTCAGTCGGTTAAGCATCTTCCTTCAGCTCAGGTCATGATCCCAGGATCCTGGGATTGAGTCCCTCATCGGGCTCCCTGCTCAGCAGAGAGCCTGCTTCTTCCTCTACCCCTCCCCCCTGCTTGTGATCTCTCTCTCGGATAAATAAATAAAATCTTTTAGAA